AGCTTTCATTTTAAAGTCTGTCTATGTAGCTATGGCTACACTGAAACAGTGACATCACATTGTACACTTTGAATAGTTACAATCTCTGTTAAATATTTTTAAATTAAAAAAGCTCAGTGGTTAGTCTGAACCATGGTAAAGCAATTAAGCTTTAGAAGCTCCTACAAAGACGAGGATTGAGCCAGAAACTAGGTGCTTTTCGGAATGTGAACCCATAATGTTGTGATTAACAAACCAAAAGATGTTAATAAAAGTAATAATAGTAAGTGAAAAAAAAGTTCAGTAGAAAATGACAAACCAATAGCAACAACAATTTTCAGTACCCCTTGACCCAATTTACCCTGGCTTTGGAATGTAGCTATTTCCAATCCCATTTCTTGTAGGAATAAATTTTGTGCAAATGACTTACTTTCTTAGCGCTTTGGTTTCATTGACTACAAAATGTGGACAATATCAACTACCCCATAGGTGGTATTAACAATTAAATGAAAGGCTGGGCACAGTGGCTCACACCTGTAATCCCAGGACTTTGGGAACCTGAGCAAGAAGCTCACCCAAGGTCAGGAGTTCAAAACTGGCCTAGCCAACATGGTGAAACTCCACCTCTACTAAAAATACAAAAATTAGCTGGGCGTAATGGCACATGCCTCTAGTCCCAGCTGCTTGGGAGGCTAAAGCAGGAGAATCGCTTGAGTCTAGCAGGCAGAGGTTGCAGTGAGCCAAGATCATACCACTGCACTCCAGCCTGGGTGACAGAGCGAGATTCTTGTCTAAATGAATGAATGAATGAATAAATAAATAAATAAAAGTTAAATGAAAGAACACACGTATTGATATAGTCAGCCGTCTATAGGAATTTCTCCCGTGAAAATTGGCATATCTTTGAGAAGTGACATTCAATTCAAAGGCAGAGTAACTTTGCCGTGAAAATCGTTGCTATGGAAATTCTGTATACTGGCCATATTTATTGCTTTGACCACTCTTGCCCATCTGTGATCCCACTTGTGATACTGTGAAGTGTACATTTGGTTTCAAGCCTGTTTCCTGATACACAGCTCCAAAAATCCTTTGACACACCACAATGGTGTCTTTTTGTTTGCTAATGATTGACGGGTGGCTGGCAGCCCCTCGGTAGCTTCAGAATGGGGCTGGCCATAGGAAAAACCAAGGCAGGATTAGAAGTGTAGGACCTTCAGCCTCACCACCCCCAACCTCTGGGGAGGGGAGAGGGACTGAAGGTTCAATTGATCATCAATGGTCAGTAGTTTAATCAATCATGTCGACATAATGAGGCCTCCATAAAAACCCAAAAAGGGATTCAGAGGGCTTCCAGATAGCTGAACACATGGAAGTTCCTGGTAGGTGACATATGGAAAAGGCGTGGAAACTCTGCACCTCTTCTCCCGTACCTTGGCCTGCATGTCTCTTCAACTGGACCCTTTATAATAACCTAGTAAGCAGAAGTAAGTTTTCCTGAGTTCTGTGAGCCACTCTAGTAAGTTAATCAAACCCAAAAAGGTGTTGTGGGAACCCCCACTTGAAGCCAGTAGGGCAGAGATTCCAGAGGTCGAACTTCTGACTGGTTTCAGGAGTGGGGTTTGGTCTTGGAGACTGAACCCTCAACCTGTAGGATCTGATGTGGTATCCAGGTAGACAGTGTCAGAAGTAAATTGAAGGACACCTTGCTGGTATCCACTACAAAACTGATTGCTCATTTGCTGGCGAGGACACCTATTTAGCCACAGAAGTCTTCTGTGTTGATTGTTTGGGCATGAGAGCAGTGAAAAACACATTTTTAGTTTTTCCACTTTCACATTTGGCGTCAGAGGAGTGGGATTTGTTAGAATGGCTCTGGCTCATGGAAACGTGGTTTGGTGAAAGAAAGGCTGAAAAGATACAGACAAGACCAGAATCCTTTGATTCCTGGGTGGCCGCAGGGTCATACACGGTGTGGAGCTGTTGAGTTATTAAAGGTAAAATTTACTGGTGTAAGGATTAAGAAAGAGGAAAGAAACCTGAAAGGTGGCTCGAGAGTCACCTATTTTTGAGAAAATAAACCTAAGAGGGGCTTCGGGCCACGTTAGATCAGAGGCTCTTTTTTTTTTTTTTTCAGCTGGAGTCTTGCTCTGTCACCAAGCTGGAGTTCAATGGCATGATCTCAGCTCACTGCAACGTCTGCCTCCCAGGTTCAAGTAATTCTCCCTGCCTCAGCCTCCCAATTAGCTGGAATTATAGGCACCACCATCATACTGGGCTAATTTTTATATATTCAATAGAGACATGGTTTCACCATGTTGGCCAGGCTGTTCTCCAACTCCTGACCTCAGATGATCCACCTGTCTTGGCCTCTCAAAGTGCTGGGATTACAGGGGGTCTGCTACTCTCTTACAGACTAAGAGTGCTGTAATCCCAGCACTTTGGGAGGTTGAGAGGGGTGGATCACATGAAGTAGGGAGTTCAAGACCAGCCTGACCACCCCGTAGCTACTAAAAATACAAAAAATTAGCCTGGTGTGGTGGCACATGCCTGTAATCCTAGGTACTCAGGAGGCTGAGTCAGGATAATTGCTTGAACCTGGGAGGTAGAGATTGCAGTGAACCTGGATGGTGCCATTGCACTCCAGCAGGAGTTCAAGACATGTTCAGAAAAACAGAAGGCATGTAAATCCATCCTAAAAGCCATATTAATTGGACATGCTAAAGGGGAACCAGTAAGATTACAAAAGTAAGATTACACAGAGCAGAGCAGAAGCTGGAGTGCCTGGAGGGACAGATTCTCCACTCGAATACCCAGTACCCAGAATAGTTTCCTTCTCATGAAAAGAAAATGGTTGGCTGGGTATGGTGGCTCATGCCTGTAATCCTAGCACTTTGGGAGAACGAGAGGGGTGGATCACGAGGTCAAGAGATCGAGACCATCCTGGCCAATATGGTGAAACACCATCTCTACAAATATGCAAAAATTAGCTGGGTGTGGTGGCGCGTACCTGTAGTCCCAGCTACTTGGGAGGCTGAGGCAGGAGCATCACTTGAACCCAGGAGGCGGAAGTTGCAGTGAGCCGAGGTTGTGCCACTGCACTCTAGCCTGGTGACAGAGCAAGACTTCGTCTCAAAAAAAGAAAAAGGAGAAAGAAAATGGTTAATACAGGGACATGCTATTGGGGAAAATCAGGGAAGCACCCACTGTCCCCACAAACGGGTGGCCTCTTTACCTCTAGGGTTGACTTTGAAACCATCTGAGGAGCTGCTGGTATCTATTTCCATTTGCCCTACAAATATCTCAACTGAGTGATAACTGCTTGGTTTGTGGACAGTAGGTAGTTCCAGGCAAGGGAACAACATTCTGTTTGGGAGCTGCCACTCTGATCAAAGAAGCCGAAAGCAAATCAGCTGGTGGCCGCCCTGCACACTGCTTTCCTAGCAGTGACCGAGCAGTGGCGATGCCCCCGTGTCTGGGTTTTCACTGACTCGAGAACAGTGTCCTATCGCCTGGCCACGTGGTCTGGCAGAGGGGCAACGGAAACCGGGCCTATTAAAGGGATGCCCGGATGAGGCACGGCCCCCGGGGAAGTCTGAGGGTGCGTAAAAGTAACACATGCCGATGCCCATTAGAAAGTCTCCCTTCCAGGTCTGAAAGGTGCCTGGCATTGGCAGACACTCCTGTTTACCATTCTCACATACGGTGGCCACCTGGGCTCATGAAATGAGTGGATATGGGAGCCACAGCAGTGCGGAGATGGGCTGAGTGTAGACACGTTCCTCTTGCACCCTCTCAGGCGCAAAATGCCAGTAAGAACTATTCTGTCTGCCCGCAAGACAGAAGCCTGCCAATGGCTCCAGGATAGGGTCCCTGGCGGGAAGGCCCTGAACACACCTGGCAAGTGAGACTGATGGAGTGGCTGAGGGCTACACATAGGTTCTGATGGGAATGGATGCTGGCTCTGGACTGGGCTTGGCTTACCTGGTGGGAAATGCAAGGGCTCAGAGTGATCTCCAAAGCAGGAGATACTGCCAAATGTGGAAGCCTACTGTCATTTCTCCAGAGGGAGGAATGCACAGTACAGCCCATGCTGTCTGACAGTGCGGAGGAGAGGTCCTCTTCACAATCATAGCTTGAGAGGGAAGTGGAGCGGGCCTTGGTTGTCTGAACCAGTGGGAGATAAGAGCATGAAGGACTGGCTGATGTGCCTTCACAAGCGTGCGCTCACATACACCAGGAGTGGCGCTAAAGAAGGGTTCCCATTCAATTTTCCTCTGTTTTTCTAGTGGATCCAGGAAAGGAGGGGCGGGAGGATGCTGGTATGACTGCAGTTCTTGACAACGGTGAGGACACTGGTTTAATGGCTATGGTTTTTCCCTTTTCCTCACATCACCTCAGTTTCTTTCTCCCCTACCTGATGCGGTGGTCCCAGGAGGAGGGCTACATGTACAAGTGCAGAAAGCAGGGATGACGCCTAAACAACAAACTGTAGCTGTGTTTCTCAACTTTATGCCAGCATTTCTAAGGGCCTGATGGAAGTGGGCTGTACAAAATTGGGGTTCACTAGTCTACACCTATGTAACATTACCCTCCTGAGTGGGAATGGGAGTGGACTGGGAAAAAGCACATGCTAGTCTAGCATTGCTCTGCGCAATCTAAACTAGCACTGTGGTGAGATATATATATGTATATATATATATACACACACACATATACACACACATATATATATATATAACCTTCCATATATATATATATGCCTGTGAGATGGCATCTTGCTCTTTCACCTACGCTGGAGTGCAGTGGCAAGATCTCAGCTCACTGCAACCTCCATTTCCTGGGTTCAAGTGATTTTCCTGCCTCAGCCTCCCGAGTAGCTGCAGGCGTGTGCCACCAAATCTGGCTAAATTTTGTATTTTTATTAGAGACAGGGTTTCACCATGTTGGCCAGGCTGGTCTTGAACTCCTGACCTCCAGTGATCCGCCCACCTCGGCCTCTCAGGCGTGAGCCACTGCTCCTGGCCTTTATATAAATTTTACATAATTTTTTTGAGACAGGGTCTTGCTCTGTCACCCAGGCTGTGATGGCTCACTGCAGTCTTGACCCCTTGGGAACAAAAGGTTCTACAAAGGCTGTAATGTTTCTTCACCTTCTTCAAGCCAAAACAAAAGTTATACATGCTGCTAACTAGCAAGTCTTCAAACTGCTCAATCACAAGTTCCAGCAAGGTTTTTCCTTCTTCAGCCGGTAACTCGTTGGAGCCCCATCTCTCCTTGAGCTTCTTGACCTGCTCCAGGCTCAGCCCCGTGCTCTCGTTGACACCGAAGTGGTCCAGCACCTCCTCCACTGTCTTTGTGTGCGCATTCTCCATGGCTTCGGGGGCCCGGCTGGCCTCGCCTCCAGTCCCCGCGGCCTCCTCGCCTCCGCCTCGCACTGGGGCCGCGGGCTCGTGCCACCCCGGGAGCCCAGGCGCGGACGGGCGCTCCCCTGCTCCTCCTCCTGCGGCCGCTTCCGCCTCGCCGGGCGCTGAATCACCTCGCGCCCCCTACCCCAGACAACCGCCCCTTGCGCGACCCGAGGCTCCGCCGCGGGTTGGGGGCTGCTGACCCTCCCTCCTCTCGCCAGAAGGGAGGGCCTCCCTCGTCCTCAGCCGCCTGCCGGGAGAGCAGGCCGCAGCCCCGGAGCCCCTTCCCCGCTCTCCAAAGGCGATCAGAGGCCCCGCCCGGGCCGGAGCGGGGGGCGCCCGGCAGACCCTTGAGGGCGGAATGCGGCGAAGGAGGCGAGCAAGCGGGGCGGGGCGCGGCAAGATCGCCCGGGTCTCTCAGCCCCGCCCAGCCGGCAGCGGCGGAGGAAACTGCGGCGGAGGAGAAGGAGGTGGCGTCGGGGACTGCTCCGCGGCGGCCGCTCTAATAGCATTTATCGGCCACTGTGTCCGCTCTCGCCGCCGCCGCGGCATGTGGCCTCCCTAGTAGCTGGGACCACAGCTGCATGCCACTATGCCTGGATAATTCTTGTATGTTTTGAAGAGATAGGTCTCCCTATATTGCCCAAGATGGTCTCAAACTCCTAGGCTCAAGAGCTCTGCCTGCCTTGGCCTCCCAAAGTGTAGAGATTAGAGACAGTGGCAACTTTAATTTCCCTTCTAAAGGTGGAAAAGTTTGAATATTAATGGAGAGAGAGGAATGGTAGCTGAGTGTAAATAAATGAATAAATGGGTTATAAATTGAGGGAAATTCAATATTACATGAAGACCTTGAAAGAGGTTTGGAGCAAGACACTATACTGTGTCTTATCTCAGTGATCCCAGATGCACGAAAGGGTGAAAGATGTGTGTGCCAAGACCACCAACTTTTGGAGTCTGGCAAGATGGACAGGAAGCCTGCAAATCTGAGTGGCCTTGCCCTGTCAGATATTCATACAGTATGATGGACTGGACTAATTATTAATGACTGAATTGGATTCCACTAAGGTCGCAGTATCTTTTGAGTTGTATGTCCTTTGGTTGTAAGAGACCCTGGTTCAAAGGCCAGGGGTGGACTGTGATTGTTCTTCAACCCAATTCCTGACTTACAACTCCTAAAATCCTTAGAAACACCAAAATGATGTGGGTTTTTTTTTTGTATGCTAATTAGTTGACTGGTGGCTGGTAACCCCTAGGTAGCTTCAGGATAGGGGCTGGTCACCAGACAAACAAAGGCAGAGTTAGGATTGGGACTTTCAGCCCTGTCAGGGGAGGGGAGAGACATCTAAGGCTAAGCTGATCACAAGTGGTCATAGTTTAATCAGTCATGCCTACGTAATAAAACTTCCATAAAAACCCGAAAGGACAGGGTTCGAAGAGGTGGTGAATCCAGGAAGAGCATGGAAGCTCCACACTCCTTACCCCATACAGTGCCCCATGCGTTTCTTCATCTGTATCCATTGTGATATCCTTTATTATAAATGGGCAAATGTAAATAGGTGTTTCCTTTAGTTCTGTGAGCTGCTGTAGCAAATTAATCAAACCCAAAGAGGGAACCCCATGGGAATCCCATCTTGAAGCCAGTTGTTCAGAAGTTCTGGAGGACTAGACTTGTGACTGGTGTCTGAAATGGGACAGCCTTGTGGGACTGAGCCTCTGACCTGTGGGATTTGAGGTTATTTCCGTGTCAATAATGCCAGAATTGAACTGGGAGACGCCCAGATGGTGTCCACTGCAGCAGTGATGGCTTGTTTGCTGGTGGGGCGAAATCCATGTACATTTGATCCACAGAAGTCTCCTGTGTTGATTGCTGTTGTTGAGAGAGTAGAAAAAGCACTCTGAGCTTGTGTGTTTTTTCCATACTTATACTATTTTAATGCACTAGAGAAGTGCGTAACTTTATTCAGGGAAACACCCTCGATACCCATAAAATCATGAGAGCTGTCTCCTGTCCCTTCAGGATGGTCCTCTGCCAGTTTTCTTCTATTTTAAAACTCACTGTCATAGAAAACTCTCCGCTCCAAGGATTCCACATGGACCTTTAAATCAATTTGAAGTCTTCTAAGAAGGATAATAGAATTGTCAGCTATGCTCCCAATTCCACTTTGGAAAAGGGAGTAGGTGTGAAGTAGAGGGTCTTGAGGTGTCCATGAAGATATCTCATCCCCTGATAGAAGGAATCTTAGAAGCTATGGCCACCTACTTTTCTCCAGGTCTCATCAGGAAAGAGTGAAGCCTGAGTGATATTACATAAAATACACCATGCTACACATTGTCTCAGAAGACATTCTGACCAAGGCTACTGGTGCTGCCTTTCTTTCTCTTTCTTTTCTTTTCTTTCTTTCTTTCTCTCTCTCTTTCTTTCTTTTTTTTCTTTCTTTCTCTTTCTTTCTTCTTTCTTTCTTTTTCCTTTTTTCTTTCTTTCCCTTTCTTTCTTTCTCCTCTCTTCTTCTTTCTCCTTCCTTCCTTCCTTTCTTTCTCTCTTTCTTTCTTTCAGAAAGAGTCTTGCTCTGTCACCCAGGCTGGAGTGCAGTGGCGCAATCTCTACTAACTGCGACCTCCACCTCCCAGGTTCAAGCGATTCTCCTGTCTTAGCCTCCCAAGTAGCTGGAACTACAGGCGGGCACCACCACATCTGGCTAATTTTTGTATTTTTAGTAGAGACGGGGTTTTACCATGTTGCCCAGACTGGTCTCGAACTCCTGACCTCAAGTAATTCATTCCACCTTAACCTCTCAAAGTGCTGGGATTATAGGCATGGGCCACTGTGCTTGGCCATCCTGGCACCTTTCGTCATGGATGGAACGTGCTTTGCTGATTCAGGTTTTCTGCCCTAATCATGTGTCGGGTGACTCTGCTCTAGTTCACCCTATTGTGACCTGGTGTCTGGTCTCCATTTTCAAGGAGTCTTATCACTTGCACCATGGAACCCCAGACTCCTGCACAGCGACTCCTGTTGGTGATTTCCAAATCATGGGTGAGGTTCCCACTCAGGGATAACAGGTTATGGTGTGAATGGGGCAGCTGTTGGAGGCCTGCAGCCTTGGAAGTTTCAACCCAAATGCCATCACTGCCTTAGAGTTCCTCCTCAAGGACAAAGCATCTATTTTAACAAATGAGTAAAGAAGCCATCTGCTGTCCACCTCCAAAGGTAGCAGAAAATATCTAACATCATAAGAGGCATCAAATAACACACACTATTCTATTTTAGATCTAATATCATACTATGGACACCTTTCTTTGTCGATATATGTAGAGCATTCTACTGTTAGACCACATCATAATTCATTTAACAATCTCCTTTTCTCCTGTTCATGAACATTTAGATGTATTTTTACTTACAAACAACACTGCAATAAATATCTTTATGCATGTGTTCTTATAGATGTGTGAAAATATTATTATAAAACTAATATCTGGGCTGGGCATGGTGGCTCATGCCTGTAATCCCAACATTTTGGGAGGCTGAGGTAGGCGAATCACCTAAGGTCAGGAGTTCAAGACCAGCCTGACCAACATGGCAAAACCCCATCTCTACTAAAAATACAAATATTAGCCAGAGGTGGTGGCACATGCCTGTAATCCCCACTATTGGGGAGGCTGAAGCAGGAGAATTACTTGGACCCAGGAGGTGGAGGTTGCAGTGAGCCAAGATTGCACCATTGTACTCCAGCCTGGGCAAGAAGAGTGAAACTCCGCTTAAATAAATAAATAAATAAAACATATCTGGAAATGAAACTACTTGCTGAAAAAAGTTATTTTAACATGTACTCCCTCTGTAGTTAAAGAGAATGTCTGTAACCCTCACAAATAATGAATCAGCTCACTTTATAAGCAGAACATGACCTAATAGCTCTGGTTTGTTTTTTTTTTTTTTTTGAGACGGACTCTCCCTCTGTCACCCAGGCTGGAGTGCAGTGGTGCGATCTTGGCTTACTGCAACCTCCGCCTCCTGGGTTTAAGTGATTGTCCTGCCTCAGCCTCCCTGAATAGGCCCATGCCACCATGCCCAGCTAATTTCCTTTTCTTGTATTTTTAGTAGAGACAAGGTTTCACCATATTGGCCAGGCTGGTCTCGAACTCTTGACCTCAGGTGATCTGCCCACCCTGGCCTCCCAAAGTGTTGGGATTACAGGCATGAGCTACTGCACTCGGCTGATGTTTTTTATACAAAATTGAGGGGCTGTACATACATAATTGGCATGAATTTAATTTAATTCACTCCTCACAACATCACACCAAGTAGGAATTGCTAATTCATTCTACAGCTGAAAAGCAAAAAGTGAGTTAGCTGTGTGTCCTTAGGTAAATAATTTATGTTCTCTCTGCTTCTAATCCCCCAGCAGAGAAGAATAAATGGCAACATCTTCCTTCTCTACCACAGAGGCATGATGATCAGTTTTGTTTGTTAATTTGGGTGAGTTACAGTTCACAGTTATTCAGTCAAACACAAATCTAGGTGGTTTGCCTGGATTTTGTAGATATAATCCAAGTCCATATTAGTTGGGTTTAAATAAAGATCATTCCAGATAATCTGGGTGGGTCTGATTCAATGAGTTGAAATATTTTAAGAGCAAGGCTGATGCTTCCCTGGGGAAGAAGAAATTCCATTCATGGACTTGGCTGTCCTGGACAGTCCCAGCATGGTTTTCCTGAGAGGCCGCCCTGCAGATTCTGAACTTGCCTAGCCAGGCCCCACAATTCCATAAATCTTGTAATGTATATCTCCCACTGCTCTACCTCTCTGAGCACAATGGGGATGTGTTAAAAACTAAAGTACTATATATATGCAAGGTATTTTATGGTCCCTCTGGATTGTGTGAGAACACAGTTTATAGTTTCAGTGTGCTGGGGAGGAGGGCAAGATAGAAAGACTGAGAAGATCTCTTGTTGCGCGCTGCAGCCGACTGAGTCTTATCTGGAGAGCAAGTCATGGTGGTGGTTCTAGAAAGGACTCTGCAGACACAGACTAAAGCTGGCGTCAGACCCTGTGTCATGGTCTAGATTCTCTGGAAAGAAAGAAGAAAGAGAGAAAGAAAGAAAAAAGGAAAGAAAGAAAGAGGGAGAGAAAGAAAGAGGGAAAGGAAGGAAGGAGAGAGAGAAAGAAAAGGAGGGAAGGAGGAAGGGAGAAGGGGGGAGGGAGAGGAAGGAAGGAATGCAAGAGAGAAATAGAGAGAGCTATAGAAGGAGGGAAAGAGGGAGAGAGGGAGAGGGAGGGAGGGGAAGGAAAGAAGGAAGGAAGGAAGGAAGGAAGGAAGGAAGGAAGGAAGGAAGGAAGGAAGGAAGGAGAAAGATAAAAGAAAGAGAAAGAAAGACAAGACTGAAAAAACACAGGTCCGAATGCTGGAATGTGGCTTAATCTCTAGCAGGCTGCATATTTAATAATAATAATAATAATAATCTCTTTGGAACTCCATTTTCTCATTTATGAAATGTAAGAGGTGGGAGTTGGATCAGATGGTCTCTAAGGACCTTTTCATTAGAGCTAAAAAGGCTAGGCTATGTGTTTGCTTAATATCCATGATTAGGCCTTAAAATCTTTTTTTATTGCCAGCTTTATTGAGTATTATTTACATGCAATGAAATTCACCAAATTTAAGTACACAGGTTGATGAGTTTTGAATACATACATGCAAAATGCATACAATTGTGTCATCACCAGCACCATCACAATCATGATTTAGAATATGAGTCTCCTCCCCCAAGCTTGGCCCCTGCCAGACACCGATCAGCTCTGTCCCTATGGCTTTGCCTTTATTAGAATCTCATCGGATGGATGTATGAATTTTTTTGTGTCTGGCTTCCTTCACTTAGCACAAAGCTTCTGAGACTCATGTCTGATCATTTGTGTGTTTGGTTATAACTTCACATTGGCTATTGTATATCTTCTAAAATAGACAGTTTATGTCCTTTGCCCATTTATTATTGGGTCATTGATTTTTTTCACTGGAGATGTATGGAAGCATATATTTTGAAAGGCAATGAATAATATGAAAGTTGATTTTATTTTCCTAAATCTTCTTGAGTGCATCTTGTCCCATAAAATTCCCCACTTGGAGCCACCAGTGGCTGGAGGCGCCAGTCTTCTTTCTCTCTCTGCCACCCTGGAGGTGCTTGCTCCATTCCACTGCCCAGGTTGCCACAGAGGAGCACACCCTGGTGCCCCACACTGACCTGATTCTTACCAGTGTCCAGGCTGGACAGAGGCTGGGTCATCGAAGGAGAGGACAGAGCAACAGCTTCTACCCTGCTCCTTGGCTCCCATCTTTGGGTGGTTTCCCCAGCTGCAGAGTTAAAGACTCTGGCCTTTGTCATTGTCCCTGAGTCTGTGCTCCTGGTCCTGGGCCCAGAGACCCCACAAAGCCAAATGGGCAAGAGGGGCTCTCCATCTCATTACATTCTGCTTCCTTACTGGCTGCAAACACTCAGGAAAACTTACAGGGCTGGGGATTCTCCACCGAGGCTACTTTCAAATCCTTAACAAAAAAGAATGCTAGACAAATCTGTGGGGCTGGGGGAATGGGAAATGTACTTGAACAAACACGAAGATTATTCCAGCCCCACTCACCCCCAGAGGCTAACTGAACCCCAACCCTATTTCTCCCCGTTCCTAGCCTGCACCGTTAGGACATGGTGCTGAGAAGGGCCCATCATCTCTCAATGCCCTGCACTGGGCAGCAGTGAGGCAGGGAGGCCTTGATCCTACGGCACTGGGACAGGCGTGTGCTTGGATACCTAGGGAAATGCTGTGGCCCACAAGGACAGGTCTGCGTGGGGGTCATTGATGGGCAGCACCCTTCAGGTGCACACCCAGTTAAGCAGACTGTCACATGCCAGCCTCTGCACCCTATCACTAAGTGCACAGTCTCTGGGGGAAAATATATCTTGTTTTCCACACAGCTGACTGACCACACACTGAAGACACACAACCTGTTTATAAACTGGGACTCCGCTATTGGAATCTTAGAGAAAACTTGAGTGTGCTTCTCAGGCAGGAGTTTACCCTTTAAGCGGAGAAAAAATGGATTTTGTGGCTCAGTTTTTCTTTCTATTCTAACTCTATCTAGTCCAAAATGGAATTGAGAAGGAATGAAACAGCAAGAAACTCTGTGAAATTAGAATAGCAACAATGGAAGAACATTGTCTTGGTTCAACTTCAGGGGCCACCTAAGATCTCTTATTAAGAGATATTAAGTGGAAAGCAATTGCATAGTAGCCTTCCCATGGTAATTCCAAATTTGTTTGTATTTCAGAATGTCTTTCTAGGATGCTCCAAAATCCCCATGAAGCTTTTCCTAGAATCTGCAAATTCTGAGTCTTTAGAGACTTGCCGGTCACTTGCTGGACAGGGCATCTGTAAAAGGGTTCTGGGGAATTTGACTCAGTGTTCAGCCAAGATCCTTCCAAACCTTTAGGGTCTGATTCTGGGATTCCCAAGGGGACCTGGAGCCTTTCTCAACACCTTCCATGTGGAAGAGCATCTGCTTCATCCTCTGTTGCAACACAAAGAACCATTGTGAAGCTCCGTGGTGAATTTCAATGAGTTTATTCCACCACATACAGCTCAGGCAGGCATGGATTTATAGGTATGCTTGTGCTATGTTTCATATTCAAATGTATAGTTCCAACAGTTTACTTTATCAGCTGTGGCCTTTGTCTTCCTTGTGTTCTGTCAAGCATCAAATGCAGTGTCATCTCTGTGTGGGTGCTCTGCAAATGCTAATTGGTGGTGACAAACATAATGATGTTGACAAATGGCCCCATAAAACTGATGAATCATTCGGTTGGAGAGTCCCAGGTTTGGCAGTTATGTAATGTCGCTTCACCAAACAGGTAATGTTTCATACCTCAGAGCAAGACGGAACATTCTGCCTGCCAGGGCCTCATTCATTTCTATTCACAGCCAAAAAAGCTTCTCTGATGAGTAGAACTTTTTTTTTTTTTTAAAGAAAACATCAACCTGGTAGGCAGATGTTTCGTGTTAGAGATACAGCTGTTTGCTTTGATTCAGGCTTCTACCAAAACTGCTGCTCAAACTCCCACACCAGTTGGCAGTCAACTCAACAAACAGGAAGGAGCAAGAGGCTGAATCAGATCATAGAACAAATAAATGAATTCATGTGAGTCTTAACACCTCAATGATATTGTTCCCACCTTCCTGTGCAAAGGTATGGACATCTTAAAATAAGGAGGCCATGGAGTAGGTAAGTTTTTGGTTAACCAAAAATTTGACAGTTTTTGACCTCCAAAAGCACAATTTTATATGGTTCAACCTAATGAAAGATTTAAGAATTCTCAGAATGTATATATTTCAGTATAGGTGTCTGTTAATATAAAATTTAGCATACTCCTAATACTTGCTTCCTGGAAAATTCATGCTTATTCTTACTTGGTATCCCATTTTAGGTATTTCACATGTTTTCTAAAAATTCAAAGTCAAAAATTTTAATTGAAAATTAGAATTTTAAACAGAATTTTTTTTCCTTTGCTACAGAATCTAAAATCCAGTACATTTTCCAAATTGGTGCAAGTTGTGCAGATTTGACCCACTGTCCTGTGATATTCAGTTTACACAATCATGTTCAACTTTTTTATTTTTGAGACAGAGTCTCTCTCTCTCTGTCACCCAGGCTGGAGTGCAGTGGCATGATCACAGCTCACTGCAACCTCTGCTTCCCAGGTTCAAGCTATTCTACTGCCTAAGCCTCCTGAGGAGCTGGGATTACAGGCACATGCCACCACGCCTGGCTAATTTTTGTATTTTTAGTAGAGACAGGGTTTCACCATGTTGTTCAGGCTGGTCTCGAACTCCTGACCTTGTGATCTGCCAGCCTCGGCCTCCCAAAGTGCTGAGACTACAGGTGTAAGCCACCACACCTGGCCATGAACAATTTTTAAAATGTGATTTTTGTTTGTTTTTTGAGACAGGTTCTTACTCTGTCACCCAGGATGAAGTGCAGTGGTGTGATCTCAGTTCACTGCCGCCTTGACCTCCTGGGTTCCAACAATCCTTCTACCTCAGCCTCCTGAGGAGCTGAGACTACAGGTGTGTGACACTGCACTTGGCTAATTTTTATAATTTTTGTAGAAATGGGGTTTGCCATGTTGCCCAGGCTGGTCTGAAACTCCTGAGTTCAAGCAATTTGCCCACCTCAGCTTCCCAAAATGCTGGGATTACAGATGTGAGCCACCACACCCAACTGTGAATCCTTTTGATAAGATATGCTCTCTCCAGTTGCCAAAGTCCTCTATGCTATCTACAGATTTGCTTGAACATTTGCATGTTCCTATTGGGCCCTCCAGTATTTCAATTTTTCACCTCTGTCTTAGATGACACTGATATCTCATTGCTCCTCCTCCAATGTGATGAAACTTTGATGAAGTCAAGGTGTTAGGAGGAGAAGCCATACTTCCTCCAGGGATTCCCCCTTATGGCTCCTATTTTTTCTCAGAATGAGAGCAAAAGGAGACAAGATTCCAGGAGAAGATGCTCAGGTTCTCTTAAATCCAAAAGATGCAAATTAAAAAAAGGTGTCTTCTTATTTTTAACCTATAAGTTTTATAAAAGTAAATAGATTAAATAATATTTAGGTTTGGTGAGAGTGTGGAGAAATGGGTCCCCTCATTTACTGGTAAATTGATGTAATTTTTTTGACCAAAAAAATTGGGAATGTTTATGCTTTTTAAAAAATACATATTGTTTGCCTCAATGAATCCACTTATAGTCTTCAAAAGTAGTCACACAAGCATGGATGTTACATACTTCACATATTCAAAGATTTTTCTTGTAGCATAGTTTATAATAGAAAAAAACTGAAAAGAACCTATAAGTTTATTGATAAAGAGATTTTAAATTATGGTTACATATGATGGTTAAACAGAATGAGTTGTATCTGTGTAGATAGTTGTATCTGTGTGTAATGAAAAGGTGTGCAGGACAACTGTAAGTGCAAAAAAACAAAGTTCAGAGCAATGTTTATAGTATGATCCTATTAAAAAACAAAACAATAATACTTTGGTTGGCAAAACTCTTCTTCATAAATAAGGGAGAGATAAAGACTTCTGCAGAAAAACAGAGGGAGGGAGTTCATTACCACTAGACTTGCCTTATAAGAAATACTAAAAGGAGTTCTTCAAATTGAAAATGAAAGGCTGCTCATTAGTAATATGAAAACATATGAAAGTGTAAAATTTATTGGTAAAGGTAAATATGTAGTCAAAAATACAAAAAAACTCTACAATAACCCATTAAGTGATACACAATATAAAAAGATGTAAAGTGCAACATCAAAAACAGAATGTGTATGTGTGTGTGCAGAGCTTTTATACAGGATCAAAGTTAAGTTGTTACTAGCTTAAAATGGGTTAGTATAACTATAAGATGTTTTAATATGCCTCATAGCAATCATGAAGCAAAAACCTACAGCAAATACAGTAAGATGAAGGGAAAGGAATCAAAGCACATCACTACTGAAAAGCCTCAAATCACAAATGAAGACAGCAAGAAAGGAAAGTAAAAGGGCTGCAAAACAACCACAAAACAATGAACAAAATGACAAGAATCACTCCTTCTCTATCAATAGTTACTTTAAATGTAAATGGACTAAATTTGCTGATCAAAAGACACAGGATGGTTATATGGATTTAAAAAATACAAAAACAAGGCCAGGCACAATGGCTCACACCTATAATACCAGCACTTTTGGGTTCATTTTGGGTGGATTGCTTGAGGCCAGGAGTTCTAGACCAGCCTAAGCAACATGGTGAAACCCTGTCTCTACTAAAAATACAAAACTTAGCTGGGTGTGCTGGCAAATGCCTGTAGTCACAGCTACTCAGGAGGCTAAAGCAGGAGAATTGTTTGAACCTGGGAGGCTGAGTTGCAGTGAGTCGAGATTGTGCCACTGCACTCCAGCCTGGGAGACAGAGTAAGACTGAGTCTTAAAAAAAAGAAAGAAAAGGCTGGGTGTGGTGGCTCATGCCTATAATCCCAGCACTTTGGGAGACTGAAGCGGGTGGATCATGAGATCATGAGACCATCCTGGCCAACATAGTGAAACCCCATCTCTACTAAAAATACAAAAATTAGCTGGGCATGGTGGTGTGCCTGTAGTCCCAGCTACTTGGGAGGCTGAGGCAGGAGAATTGCTTGAACCCAGGAGGCGGAGGTTGCAGTGAGCTGAGATTGCGTCACTGCACTCCAGCCTGGCGCCTGGCAACGGAGCAAGACTCTGTCTCAAAAAAATAAAAACAAAAAAGGAAGAAAGAAAAGACAAGACCCAAAAATAAGTTGCTGCAAGAAACTCGCTTCACTTTTAAGGGTGCGCACAGACTGAACATGATGGGATGAACAAAGATATTCTGTGCAAATGGAAAGCAAAGAGCACGGGGTAATTATACAGATAAAATAGGCTTTAAGTCAAAAACTAGGAGGTCATTATGCAATAATAAAGGATTCAATTCATAAAGAGGATGGAACAATTGTTAACAATATGCACTCAACATCAGGTACACATACATATAAAGCAAATATTCACAGATCTAAAGCGGGGAGTAGACAGCAGAGGCTTCAGTGCTCCACTTTCAACAATGGATAGATCATTCAGACATGAAAACAGTAAGAAAATATTAGACTTGAACTAAACTTCAGACCAAATGGACTTAACAGACATATATAGAACATTCCATCCAATGGCAACAAAATGCACATCTTCTCAAGTACACATGGAACATTCTCCAGGACAGAGCAAATGCTGGCCCCAAAGCAGAGGCTAATAAATTTGAGAAGATATAGCTCATATCAAGTATCTTTATGTACCACAATAGTATGAAACTAGAAGTCAATAACAGGAGAAAAACTGGAAAATTCACAGATACATGGAAATTGAACAACATGCTTCTAAGCAATCAATGGGTAAAGGAAGAAATCAAAGGGGAAAATACAAACATTTGGAGACAAACAAAAATGGAAACAAAACATACTAAAACTTAGGAGATGCAGCAAAAGCAGTTCTAAGAGAGAAATTTATAGCAAGAAACACTTGCATTAAAAAAGAAGAGGCCAGGCATGGTGGCTTACCCCTGTAATCCTAGCATTTTGAGAGGCCAAGGTGGGTGAATCACTCAAGCTCAGCTGTTTGAGACCAGCCTGGGTAACATAAGAGATCTCTATCTCTACAAAAAACAAACAAACATAAAACATAAAATTAGCTGGGTGCTGTGGTACAAGCCTGTCATCCTAGTTACTCAGGAGGCTGAGGTGGGAGGATCACTGGAGCCTGGGAGGTCAGGGCTGCAGTGAGCCAAGATTGTGCTGCTGCACTCCAACCTAGGCAGCAGAGTGAGACCATGTCTCAAAAAAAAAAAAAAAATTTGGATTTGATGGTTCTGTGGAAAACAAAAGAAGTGAGGTATATGCCACCACGTACAGCTAATTTTTGTAATTTTAATAAATTTTAGTAGAGATGGGATTTCACCATACTGGTCTGGCTGGTCTTGAACTCTGGACCTCAGGTGATCCACTTGCCTCAGCCTCCCAAAGTGCTGGGATTACAGTGTGAGCCACCATGCCCTGCCACAAATCAGATTTTTAAAGCAGCATAAATCCCGTGGGTTAAACTTCGCTTTTGACCCAACATCCCTTCCTAAGTGCCTTCTGTAGTTCCAGCTCAGTAGGGAGACCATGGAGTAATTATGAGATTTGTTTTAAAACTTTTTTTTCCATTTTTATAAATAGGTCAATATTAAACTTTTATAAATTTAACTTATGGCAATTTACTTTTTTCTTTCTTAAAGGAAAATATACCTTAAATTTTTTTAGCAGTGTGAAATATACACAGTAGAAATTCTGTTATTCTCTGTTATTAGTACATAAATGGAAATACATTGTTTCCCATACTGGTGTGTTTCTACAAATATTAAAGGAGGAGAAAAGCTAATATACTTTCAAGTTTACCAAATACGGTGTGTATTCAAGTAACACATGATAAGCTTATCAAAATTGTGCAAAATATTTGAACTAACTTAATTTGATTTTAATTATTATGTTCAAAAGCTTGGGATATTAGATATTATTTTGCATCTGTAACTAACTGTGATCCTCATTTCTTGTAATTTCTTGTGCTTGTATATTACTTGTTCTTAATAGATTTTACTTTTGGAAACAAGACTTTCTTGAGGTCAGTTTGGTTTTGCTGTTAATTTACTTGTTTGACTTTATAATTTCATTTAGTTTTGCAGATTAGAAAGCTTTTCATAAATCCCCTCACAGACAAAGAGGAGAACTTGCCACTATTTTATTTCCCTCATAGGAAGACATACTGGAAAGAAAATGTTTAGCATTTTAGTACAGTGTAGCTGTTGCAAACAGTTCATGACTTGATCTTCATTTGGAAATCTGTACTGACAAGGACTAAGTTTAAGGATTGTATAAATCATTAAAGTTGTGGTCGTTTCATACGAAGGTTGATAGAAAATATTTTTGTCCTAAGTTTTATTTGCTGACTTTTTCTGTCAATGAGGGAGGTTGTTGAACACACTGTATATATGGGCTATAGCAAGTAGCTTTGCAGCAGCTCTTACAATGCTTTTAAGTGGGTACCACTTTTTCTGTTTAGAATAATAAAAAACCTATTTTCACAGGTTCCTTAGAGCACGTTTGCTCTCACACACCTTAAAGGCCACTGTTGCAAAGTCCATTTTATCATGCCGAATCTGCATTCTTCCACACACCTGTAGAAAAACCTCAGCACATGCTTTCCACTCTCCTTTGCACCCTTTCCAATTTCTTATTGCAAATCATTTTGATGTAGTACAGAAAACAGCATTTTAAAATGTCCATGTTGCCAGGTGTGGTGGCTCCCGCCTGTAATCCCAGCACTTTGGGAGGCTGATCACCTGAGGTCAGGAGTTCAAGATTAGCCTGACCAACATGGAGAAACGCTATCTCTACTAAAAATACAAATTTGGCTGGGTGTGATGGCACATGCCTGTAACCCCAGCTACTGGGGAGGCTGAGGCAGGGAAATCACTTGAACCAGGGAGGCAGAGGTTGTGGTGAGCTGAGACTGCACCATTGCATTCCAGCCTGGGCAAGAAGAGCAAAACTCCATCTCAAAAAATAAAATAAAATGTCCATGTTAAGAACTGGCCCACTGGTACCAACTCACCTCTATTTTGTCAGTTCATAATTGAAGCTTTTGTTTTTATCGTTTCCAAAAATAAAGTATATTTTTGAAATAATGAATTTAAGAATGAAAAAACAAGTGCGAAAAACACCCAAATTACCATATATGTGTATTTTGATATGCAGATGTAGCAATATGCATGGAGAGTCTAGTAAAGTGGTCTTTAACTGGGGGAGATTTTGGACCCTTCTTGTGGACATTTGGCAATGTCAACAGACATTTTTGATTTTCATGCCTGGGTGAATAGGCCAGGGGTGCTGATAAACAACTCATCACAAAGAATGCACTGGCCTGTAAAACAAAAGGACTGAGGTTGACAAGCCCTGGCTGAAAATTGCTGTAAGAATATTATCAATGATCTCTAGCACTGATAGGGACATTAGGGTGCTGTGTAGGGAACAATTTTTTAATTTTTAAAAATTATTTATTATTTATTTATTTTTAACATTTGAGACAGCATCTCACTATGTCTCCCAGGCTGGAGTGCAGCAGTGCAATCTCAGCTCACTACAACCTCCGCCTCCCAGGCTCAAGCTATCCTCCTGCCTCAGCCTCCTGAGGAGGTGGGACTATAGGCATGCACCACCACATCTGGCTAATTTTTGTTGCCTGAGGCTTCCACAGCACTGGGATTACTGGAGTGAGTTGCTGTGCCAGGCTTATTTTGCTGTAAACAAAGTACTTTTCTTCAGCAGGTAAGTTCCTAGTTTAACACCTCTTCAAAAAATGTAAGAAATGAAAAATTTGAAAAAATCTGGGTTGCTTCTCCACCCCCATTCCTATACTATGTATTGTTGGTTTCTTTATGCACCCTTCCAGATATATTTATGCATATCAAACTATGTAGAAATATAGCTTCTTATTCTTTGTCTTTTCCACCATAAGGTACGTATGGTATTTGGTTTAGCACTTTTTTCTTTAACAATATGCCTGACACTGTTATATTGTTTCTGAAGTCATTTTACAATCATGTATATATATATGTGTGTGTGGGGGTGTGTGTGTGTGTGTGTATGGTTTGAGACAGAGTCTCACTCTGTTCCTTAGGCTAGGCTAGAGGGTAGTGGCACAATATTGACTTACTGTAACCTCTGTCTCCTGGGTTCAAGTGATTCTCCTGCCTCAGCCTCCCAAGTAGCTGGGATTACAGGTATGCACCACCACACCCAGTTGATTTTTTGTATTTTTAGTAGAGATGGGGTTTCGCCACGTTGGCTTGGCTGGTCTCGAACTTCGAACCTCAGGTGATCCACCTGCCTCAGCCTCCCAAAGAGCTGGGATTACAGGTGTGAGCCATGGTGCCAGGGTGTGTGGATGTGAGCGATAGAAGCTGGGGCCTGCAGCTTGTGTGTGTGTGTGTGTGTGTGTGTGTGTGAGCGATGGAAGCGCTATCCTGATGAGTGTTTTTGCTTCAGAATAGCTTCAGATCTTATTGAGTGCAGCCATTCTTGAAAAATATATATTCATTTGAAATTAAACAAACGAGAAATATTGAGGAAGGGAGTTGGAATGGTTGGGAGGGGTTAGTCATTTTCATTCACAAAGATGACTGTTCCACTTCTAGCAGCTGGGAAGCTAAAGAATAATTTCAAAATTGAGACGAGAGTAGCTATTGCAGGCATAGAAGTATGTACCAGTAGATGATGAATTTGCCTACTCAGTATTGATATTGCTGTATTAAGAATGATAATTCCATGTCTTTAGACACTAGTGCTTCTTTATCCAGGAATAGCTCTCTAAAGCACTCCGGTGTTACATGCTCACATATCTGCTCCTACTCACTGCACTGAACTTAGAGGGTCCACGTGCCCAAAGAGCAGGGCACTGAGGGCAGCCTCTTGCCAAGAGCCAGTGGAAACTGAGGCCCTCACTCCTTCAGCCCCGTGGAACTGAAATTCTGCCGACAACCGATTCTTCCCTGGTGCAGCCTATCACACATCTGGATTACAGCTTCAGGGAGGCCCCTGAGAAGAGGACTTGCTAAGCTGTGCCTGGACCTCTCACTCATAAACACTGTGTGATAAGAAATGTGTTGTAATTTTTATGCAGCAATAGATAACTATCACAGTTGTGAAATCACCGCTTTTGATAACGACTAAGAGCCAAACCAGGTGCCAATCACCAAAATTTCCTTGTCAAGGAGGGCACCCTACTGTCATTCTACTGGGGAATAGAACATGGCGCATACTTCCTGAGTTTCAAGGAATCAGGAAACAGAATTGCGTCCACTGCAAGCTGGGGCCTGCAGCGTGTGTGTATGTGAAACGAGTGAGCTGGGGCCTGCAGCATGTATGTATGTGAGAGGTGTGAGCTCGGGTCTGCAGGGTGTATGTATGTGAGAGGTGTGAGCTCGGGTCTGCAGCATGTGAGTATGTGAGAGGTGTGAGCTCGGGTCTGCAGGGTGTATGTATGTGAGAGGTGTGAGCTTGGGTCTGCAGCATGTGAGTATGTGAGAGGTGTGAGCTCGGGTCTGCAGGGTGTATGTATGTGAGAGGTGTGAGCTCGGGTCTGCAGCATGTGAGTATGTGAGAGGTGTGAGCTCGGGTCTGCAGCATGTGAGTATGTGAGAGGTGTGAGCTCGGGTCTGCAGGGTGTGTGTATGTGAGAGGTATGAGCTCGGGTCTGCAGGGTGTGTGTATGTGAGAGAAGCTGGTGTCTGCAGAGGGTATACACTGTGAGTGATGGAAGCGCTATCCTAATGTGTGTTTTTGCTCCCGAATAGCTTCAGATCTGGAGTGTAGCTCTTCTTGAAATATTTTTGGGAATAGATAGCAGTGATGGCTGTGCAACGTTGTAGATGTTGTTAATGCCACTGAATTGTACACTTAAAATATTTATAATGGCAAATTTTGCATGTTTTTATTAAGACAATATAAATACGAAACAGTGTAGAGTCAAATTCTCAACGTCACAGCACAGTCTCCAGTCTCCAAAGGGAAAAGTGCATGGAAGGCCTGTGTTATTTCAGATCCTGAAGAGTAAATTGGGCAAAAACCAAAAAGCTCAGGTGTTGCCTTATGTTTTTCTTTTTCCCTCCAGGTAGAAAAAAAAGGGGCCCAAACATTCCCAGAAGTGAACCTCAGGTGGACCGAAAATGCTACAAGTTTGTGTTGTTCTCTCCTACAAAAAGGTAGACTAGGTGGGCTGGGACAAAGCTTTAGATAAACTCAAAAAAGAAAAGAAAAACCCTTAAAAACAAAGAAACAAAAAATGTTTAAAAAAAGAAGAAGAAAGAAAAGAACAACCTATTTACAATGTTACTAGAGCCTCCCATCCCCCATTCTAGGCATTTCTTGGTTAACCCTCAGATGCCAATTGCGCTGTTGGAGTTTTGGGTAAATTTGCAATGGAATGGAAAATTTTAAAAACTTGAAATGAAAGGAAGTTTTTAAAAGCTGGCTACTATGGCTACTGCATCTAGATATATGATAAAAAACATATATTCTATGCCTGTAATTTTGTAAATGTTGGAGGAATCATCCTGATCGGTAAAGCTGCCCAAAACAAAACCCAGGATGGTATACAACTGGCTTGCTTGTGGCAGCTGGTGACTGAACTGAAATGCAAGTTTTCGAGTATTAGAAGGGAAATAGGTTTCCATAACTGACAATTGTTGGTATAATTTTCACCTATGGGGACCTCTGAAAAAACAGAGACAACATAAAAAGCAGGCAATCTCTAATTGGAGATTCACTTTTAGAATTTTAAATATTAGTTTTTAGTTCCTATGAGCTCTGGTAAGATCAGATGCCTGCGCCTTAGAGGCTGATAAATTTCTGGCCTCTGAGCATATTTTTGAGTGGGTCCGTTTGGACTCAGCAAGTGACAAGCTAAAAAGCCTTGCTTGTCACTGGGACCAGGAACACCGCTTTCCTGCTCTGCAAGGCTTTGGCTTTGCTTCAGCAGAACAAAAGCTGTTGGCTTTTTGGGGGGAATCCTAACTTACAGATCCTAGTTGCCTGGACCTGACTTTGAGATGAAACCTTACACTATCTGCTGCTGATTCTTTCAGCCTCAGCACAAAGCGTGCTGAAGAAAAAACTTTACAAGCACAATAAACAGAACTCAGACTCTGCTATCAACTCAGATTCGGGCATGCCTGCATGGGATCCCAAACCATGAAAACAGCATGGACGCTGGCTGGAATGCCTGCATCACACACAGATGTCCACAAGAAAGGGCTTGTTCTCTTATGGGACCATCTGCAATCAGGCTTCTGATCAGCTGCATACGTCTGACACAAAAACTAATTGCATTACTAAACTTGTGATTTCTGCCCAAACAAGTTTGGGGTGGACACATCACAGGGACTCTGAACTCCCTGCCCACTCCTGGCAGGTTGGACTCTTGACCCACTTTGGAATTATGTCTCTTGCCACTGTCGGCTGATTATTTTATTTGGCTTTCCTGGTTACTTGTAGCTCACAACACCTGTCTCTCCTGGTATACACACTTCAGAAAAGCAAGTTGATCTGTGTAAACCCATTTTGAATTTTTTTTAAATTCAGGATTTTGTCCTAATTTCTGAACACGGCATGTCTTTTCACTTAAATTGCTTAATAATGTTTTCCTGTGACAATGAGTTTATTCCTCTTGCAGATGATCCTTCCTGACAACATGTTTGAATAAAAGCAGAGTATGATTTCAAAAATATAGAGTTATGATTGCTGAAAAGGACACACCGATTTTGCAATAAGAAAAACAAAATCCTAGTGACTGGAAGGTACAGGAAGGGGGAAGGCATTTGTGACCTTTGTTGTTCAACACTGTTCCGCAAAGCTTTCTTCTCCTTGGAAGAAAAACTCCCTGTGCTGCCTTTCCTAGCTGCGGAGAATGTTTTGAATTCAGCTGACTGCTGAGGCAAAATTACTGGACAGGGCAGACTATTGTCAAAGAAAACCAGTGTCAGACAGAAGTTAAAGCAGCAAAGGCAAATTTTATTCAGAAACTATTGCAGTTGTGGAAGACAGACATCAGCACGGAACTGGGCTCTATTCCAAATAGAATAAGCACAAGTAGGAATTTATGGCCAAGGGACGGGAGTCACTGGGCAGACAATTACTAAGAGGGAGCATCAAGGATAAGGAGAACTCTGGTTAAACCAACTTAACAGATTGTCTCTCTCTCTCTCTCTCTCTCTGGCTGGAGCAAAACTTTACTGTTCAGAGGCTCTGCTGGGCCACAGGTCCTCAGGATACCAGGCCGGTCTGGCCTCCTCTAAGGCATTTAATAATATTAGTAATTAAACAGCAAAGCTCATCCCCCAACTGTAATGTACAATAGAGGTCCTGTTGTGACATTCCTGAGGGGGTCTGATACACAAGAAGCAGAGGGGGCCCCCTGATGCAGAGGGGGTTAAGACCACAAAGGAAATGGAGAAGGCATATGGTTTGGGGGCAGCTGGCCTGGTCCAGGAACCTGGCTCGGGCCATGCCAGCCCCTTCCCCTCCCCTGTGCTCTGTGGGTCTGGAAGGACCCGCGGGAGACCTTAGGAATGGGGATGCCTGAGGGTTTACGGTCTGGCTGTGTGTCCATCCTACCCGGTGCTCGGGTCCTCGAGTGTTCTGGGCCAGCGAGGGGGCTCCCAGGCGCATCTAGTAGCCACCTTCCTGGCACCCTTCCTTCATTGGAGGAGGAGCTGGATAAGGCTTGACTGCAGGCCGGGCAACCCGTTGCCCTTAAGGTCAGAGTCCCCAGGTTGGCCACATTTGCCACACAAGACAAGGAGGGACGAAGAGGAGAAACCGGAGGAACAGTAGGCCGAGTCAGGTGCTAGAGGGTCTGGGGCTGGAGCCCCGTTCTGGGCTGGTCCAGTGGGGATCCCGCTAGCAACAGCCTCAAGGGTCCCGGCGAGGGCCAGGATCTCCTCTTCCCAGCGGCAGAGCAGCTGCTCGGGTGTGTGCGGAAGACGCTGGCGGGTGTGGTGCTAAACTCTAAACTGGTGCTGGAGACCGGGAAAGCTGGGGTGCTTCAGGGCGGCGGGCATGGAGAGTCTGGGGGTGCTCCTGCCCGAACCCTGCTTCCCCTGCCCTGTGGCTCCCACGAGCGCTGCCCATCTCCATCCCTCGTGCCTGCTGGGCAGGGCTGGGGGCCACGGCTGGGCTTCCCTCTCTCTTGGAGCCCCTTCCCCCATTCTCTCTACACCTCTACACCCCACCCCCCACCCTGCTACCCCCCACCCTCCTACCCCCCACCTCCCTACTCCCTTCCCCTTCACTCCCCTCACCCCCCCTCACCCCCATCCCCACCCACCTCTGCCTGGGGCCGACCTGGATTCAGCGGATCCCAGGACTGGCTGCGACGGGCAGGGGGCGGTCTCGGAGAAGCCAGGTGCCAGTGGCCAGCCCCCAGCTGGGTCGATTCCTCTGCGGCCAGTGTCTGATCGCCGCTGCGGGCACGAAGGGCGTGGCTATAGGCTGAGGAGGCTGAGAACTCACTGTCCCTGGAGTAGGAGCGGGGATGAGGGGGCAGCAGATCCCAGGGCCTGGGTGAGGTCTCGGCCCCTCCTTTGTGCTTCCTAAGCGAGTAAGGGTCACCTAGAGCCTGGTACCAATCAGAAACTGTACCACCCAAGAGGAGCATGGGCTTACATTGATAAAAAAGTATTTAGCTTACATATATTGTTTGCCAGATTATTTCATTGGTGGATTAACCCAAGAAGTCTTTCATTCTTAGTAGCGGGGTCCTTTTGCATCAGGGGGTCAGGAAAAACCTGTCCGCCATTTGTAAGGACAAGGACCAGAGTTAGGAGTTACAGTGGCCCCTTGGAGGCTCCTTTGACCTTTCCAAACATATGTATATAAGATACCCTCTGGAAAATAAAACGGGTTGCACTTCCCGGGATGAGTGGGAAGCATACTTTAATCAGCATTCAGAAGGGATACACACAAAAAGACCATGAAATCTAAAAGAGTTTTTCCAAGACACAGTTAACTAAATTATTAAAAGAAAATAAGCATTTAAATTAAAATCTTCAGGAGGCTGGGCATGCATGTTCCTATAGTCCCAGCAACTCAGGAGACTGAGGCGGGAGGATCACTGATCCTAGGAGCTCCAGTCCAGCCTGGGCTAAATATAGGAAGACACTGTCTCAAAAAATAACAATTAAATCACTTTAAATCTTCAGGAGAACGTTCACTCTAAAACTCATCATATGTCCCACCAGTAGAACTCTGACATTCCTATTCGCTCCTCTTTCCAGCCACCCAAAACAGCTGAACCTAAACTTAGACTGGCAACCCCTATGGTGGCCTTCCCTACCCCATCCCAATTCCTACACACCCCTGCCAATACTCCCCAAATAGAATAGAGAATTTACTGATGGTGTCTTACACGGTCTGGTCCAGTTCTGAGTTCCTGTGATACGATAGCCAGACAATTTGCCAAGGTGACTTAGGACCCCTCAGCTTTGCTGAGAAATTCTTGACAGTCTATGCAAGTTATGTCCCAGAATTTTCAATTTCTATCAGTTGACACATTTGCTGGTGGGACCAGGAGGAGAGAGACACTGGGCAAAAATTGGCAGGATGGGAAAATCCTTCTGATGCTTTATTTATTTATTTAGATTTGGGGACTCACTATGCTGCTCAGGCCAGTTTTAAATTCCTGAGTTCAATGATCCTCCCACCTCAGCCCCCTGAGTAGCTGGCACTATAGGCACACACCACCATATTTTGCCTCTTCTGAGGATTTAAACCAAAATTTGCTTCAAGATATAGAAAAAGCCAAAGAATTGGTTAACATATTAATTAAAGCTATTCTCATGGCTTTTCCAAAGCCGGTAGATTGGAATAAAATTTGGGCTTGTGCTCAAATAGAAGGCAGACTAGTTCATGATTATTCCAACAAACTAGAAAGTAATATGTAAAGAAAGTTCTGGTCTCTCAAAAGAACAGACTGATGCCACTAAAGTAGCACTTAACTCCATGTTTGTCAATGGTCTCAATGAAGACTTAACCATTTTAGCTAAGAGAGCACAGAAAATTAACGAAGATATTCAGGACCTGAACTCAGGTTTGAATCAAGTGGACCTGATAGATATTTACAGAACTCTTCACCCTAAAACAACAGAATATATGTTCTTCTCATTGCCACATGGCATTTACTCTAAAATTGTGCACATAATCAGAAATAAAACACTCCTCAGCAAATGTGAAAGAACTAAAATCATAGCAAACAGTCTCTTAGACCATACTGCAATCAAATTAGAATTCAAGATTCAGAAATTTACTCAAAATCACACAACTACCTAGAAACTGAACAACCCGATCCTGAATGACTCTTGGGTGATTAATGAAATTAAGGCAGAAATCAAGAAGTTCTTTGAAACTAATAAGAACTAAGATATAATGTGCCAGAATCTCTGGAATAAAGCAGTGTCAAGAGGAAAATTTATAGCACTAAATGCCCACATCAAAAAGCTAGAAAGATCTCAAGCTAACAACCTAACATCACAACCTAGAAGAACAAACAAACCCCAAAGCTAGCAGAAGACAAGAAATAACCTAGGTCCAAGCTGGACTGAAGGAGACAGAAACACACACACAAAAAGCCTTCAGAAAAATCAATGGCTCCAGCAGTTGGTTTTTCAAAATTAAAGTAGACCACTAGCTAGACTAATAAAGAAGAAATGAATGAAGAGTCAAATAAATACAATCAGAAAGGATAAAAAGGATATCATCACTGACCCCACAGAAATACAACCACCAGAGAATGAATACTATAAATACCTTTATGTGGATAAACTAGAAAATCTAGAAGAAATGGATAAATTCCTGGACACATACTCCCAAGACTGAACCAGGAAGAAATTGAATCCCTGAATATACCAATAATGAATTCTAAAATTGAGGCAGTAATAAATAGCTTACTAATCAAAAAAATTCCGGGACCAGATGGAGTCACAGTTGAAGTCTACCAGAGGCACAAAGAAGAGCTGGTATCTTTTCTCCTGAAACTATTACAAACAGTTGAAAAGGAGGGACTCCTCTCTAATGCATTCTATGAGGCCATCATCATCCTGATACCAAAACCTAGCAGAGATACAAGAGAAAAAGAAAACTTCAGGTCAGTATCCTCAATGAACCTTGATGCAATAATCCTCAATAAAATACTGGCAGACTAAATCCAGCAGCACATCAAAAAGCTTATCCATCACAATTAAGTTGGCTTCATCCTCAGGAAGCATATACAAATCTATAATGTGATTCATCACATAAAGAGAACTAAAGACAAAAACCACATGACTATCTCAAGAAATGCAGAAAATGCCTTTGATAAAATTCAGCATCCCTTCACAATGAACTAGGTATTGAAGGAACACACCCCAACATAATAAGAGCCATATATGACAAACCCACAGCCAATATCATGCTGAGTGGGCAAAAACTGGAAGCATGCCACTGAAAACTGGCTCAAGACAAGGATACTCTCTTTCACCACTCCCATTCAACATAGTATTGGAAGTTCTGGCCAGGGCAATCAGGCAAGATAAAAAATAAAGCATGTTCAAATAGGAAGAGAGGAAGTCAAATTATCTTTGTTTGCAGCTGACATGATCCTATATCTAGAAATACCCACTAGATAATAGATATAATAGATATCAGCTTATTCTTAAGCTGATAAGCAAACTTCAGCAAAGTCTTGGGATACAAAATCAATGTGCAAAACTTACAGCCATTCCTGTACACCAAAAACAGGCAAGCAGAGAGCCAAATCAGGAATAAACTCCCATTTACGATTGCC